ATCTTTTAAAAAAATAAAATAAAATCTTTAAAAAAAAATAAAAAAATAAAAAATAAAATTACATTGTAATTCATGACATCTCTAATGTCATGAACCTTCCCCTCCCTATGTTTTATTCTAAGAATTTTGTAAGTTTTAGGTGTTATGTTTAGTGCTTGGTCCATTTTGAGTTCATTGTTGTATAACATAATACAACTTCATTCTTCTCTACCTGGATATCAAGGTTTCCCCAGAATCATTTGATAAAGAGATTATCCTCTCCCCCATTGTATGGTCTTGATAGCCTTGTCAAAAATCATTTAACTATGTATGTGAGGTCCCTTGAGATTCTGGATGGATTTTTCTATTTCTGCAAAAAAATGCAGATTGCATCGTGATAGGGATTACATTAAATCTGTAGATTGCTTTGGGTAGTATGGACATTTAGTAATTTAAAGTCTTCCAATCCATGAACATGGGATAACTTTCCATATATTTGTCTTTTTTCACTTCTTCCAGCTATTGCCTACCTGGTTGAATTTATTCCTAAGTATTTTATTCTTTCTGATGCTACTGAAAATGGAATTTTTTTTAACTTCCCTTTCAGATTGCTCATTGTTAGTATATAAAAACCCACTGATTGTGTGTGTTGATTTTGTATCCTGCTACCTTGCTAAATTTATAACTGTTTTCAGTGAAATCTTTAGGTTTTCTGCACAAGATCATTTCATCTCTGAACAGAGATATTTTACTTCTTCCATTCCAATCTGAATGATGCCTTTTATTTCTTTTCCTTGCTTAATTGCTCTGACTAGTGCTTCTAGTATTATGTTGAATAAAAGTGGCAAAGTGGGCATCCTTGTCTTGTTCCTGATCTTAGAGGAAAAGCTTTCATTCTTTCACCACTGAGTCTGACATTCTTTTGAAAATATGGCCCTATTAAGTTGAGGTAGTTTCCTTCTTTTTATTTTATTATTATTTTTAAGTAATCTCTACACTCAACATGTGGGGCTTGAATTTACAACCATGAGATCAAGAGTCATGCACTCTATGACTGAGCCAGTCAGGCACCCTGAGGTAGTTTCCTTCTATCTCTAGAAAGGGTGCTGTATTTTGGCAAATGCTTTTCTGCATCAGTTGAGATGACAGGTGATTTTCGTCTTTAATTCTATAAATGTGATGTATTACACTTATCAATTTTCATATATTAAACCATCCTTGTGTTCCTGGAATAAGTAATACTTGGCCATGGTGTATAATCCTTTCAATGTACTGCTGAAGTGTGTTTGCTAATACAGTTGGCCTTTGAACAACACAGGGGTTAGGAGAACCAACCCCTGTGCAGCTGAATATCTCTGTACCTTGGACTCCCACAAAACTTAACTACTAATAGCCTACTGTTGACTGGAAGCCTTACTGATAACATAAGTCAACTAACTCATAGTGGTATGTTGAATGTATTATATATTGTATTTACAATAAAGTAACCTAGAAAAAAAGAAAATGTTAAGAAAATTCTAAGGAAATACACTTACAGTATTGTACTGTAAAAAACCCATTTATGTGGACCACACAGTTCAAACCTTTGTGGTTCGAGGTATTTTGAAGATATTTACATCAGTATTCACCAAGGATATTGGTCTATAGTTTTATTTTCTTGTAGTTTCTTTTTCTAGCTTTGGAGTCAGGGTAATGCTTGCCTCATAGTTAGAAAGTGTTCCCTTCCTTTCCAGTTTTTTGAAAGAGTTTAAGAACTGACATTAATTCTATAAATGTTTGGTAGAATTTACCACTGAAGTCATCTGGTCAAAGGCTTTTGGTTGGGGGCGGTTTATTATAATTCAATTTCCTTATTATAGGGCTATTCTGAATTTCTATTTTTTCATGATTCAATCTTGGTAGGTTGTGAACATAAATTACTTTAACTATGGCCCTTTCATCTGTCCAAAGAAGTATTAGGAGCTAGTTTTTTTTTTTTAAGATTTTATTTATTTATTTGACAGAGCGAGAGACAGTGAGAGAAGGAACACAAGCAGGGGGAGTGTGAGAGGGAGAAGCAGGCCTCCCACAGAGCAGGGAGCCTGAGGACCCTGGGATCACCGAAGGCAGACGCTTAACGACTGAGCCACTCAGGCGCCCCCAGAAGCTAGTTTCTCAAACTAAAATATAGAGAAAGAATTAAAAATGGTCACAGCAGACACAAGAGAAAAAAGGTACTATTAAAGTACATTTTTGGAAAATAACAGTTGGACCTGATAATATTAGGGAAAAGGAGTCAAAAAAGTCCTAGTGTAGCATTTATCATTTATACTTTCAAATTAGAGCAACAATAATCACATACTGTACAGTAAGTCAAAAAAACAAGTTGCAGAAAAATGTATATAATGTGAGAAGAATTCTGTGATTTAGCAGATTTCTTCTTTTTTTTTTTAAAGATTTTATTATTTTATTTATTTATTTGACAGAGAAAGACACAG